ATGGCCTTCACAGGGGCTGACCAATGATTTCAGCATGGACTGAGAGGTGGGTGACCAAGAACTTCACCATGGACTGAGAGGGGGCTGACCAAGGACTTCACCATGGAATGAGAGGTGGCTGACCAAGAACTTCACCATGGACTGCGAGAGAGCCAACCAAGGACTTCCCTGTTGACTGAGAGGGGGCTGACCACGGACTTCACCATGGATTGCAATGGGGGGCAACCAAGGACTACACTGGGGACTGAGAGTGGGCTGACCAAGGACTTCACCAAGGATTGAGAAGGGGCTGACCAAGGTCTTCACCATGGACTGAGAGTGGACCAAGGACTTCACAAGGGGATGACCAAGTACTTCACCATGGACTGAAAGGGGGTTGACCAAGACCTTTGCAGGGGGTTGAGAGGGGACTGAGTGGGGGCTGACCAAAGATGTCACATGAGACTGAGAGGGAGCTGACCAAGAAAGAACATCCTGCTCTACAAATGACACCGTTAAGCAATAATAGAGTCATTTGTCTTGAATGACAAGGAATATGTTTGGAGGACTCAAAGTGAGGCTTCCAAGCCCACAAACACTGTTCCATCTATCAAGCATGATGGTGGACGCATCATGCTGTAGTATTGGTGCACTGCAGAAAGTGAATGGAATAATACAGAAAGAGGACTACAGTAGTCCCTGGCCATTCGTGGTTCGATGTTCGCGGACTAGTTCTTTAGGGGTTTTTTCAACATATTGTACATAACACACAATTGTCATCTTTAATATTACTCATGATTGGGACCATATGGGTTAAAAAGTTAATGAAAAAAATACTTCAGACAGGCGTCACCATTTTGTATTTTTCTTTCAATAAGTCTATACTGTAACGCAGGTCAAATAAACTACATGGCCCAGAAGCCAACAGTGCTTCCGGCCGCTGCTTTCTGCCGAAATGGATGGATAGTTTTTCAACACAGTCAGAAGTAACATCCATCTATTAAGCTCACAGAACTGGCAGGAAAGTCACAAATAATCCTGAAGCATCCTGAAGCTCAATTATCCACACGCATATCAAACTGGATGGGGCGGTGGGCTTTGTCTGCCGAACCGGTCTTGACTGATCTTGAGTTGCTGTTCTGCAGAGCTGGTGAGTACTCATAAAATTTTGCAGTACTGTACAGTACATATACGTATATTGTTAAAATTACGTTGGTTTAAGAGCTTGGAACATCGTTAAGAACATTGCAAAAGTTTGGGAAGGGTTTATAAAGCCTTAAATATATATATAAATATTAAAATAAATACAGCGTTCCTACTTCGCTGTTTCTCTATTGGGGTGGTGTCTGGAATGTAACCCCACAATAATCAAGGGAATACTGTACCTCCAAATCAGCTGTGTTCCATCAGGTCAAAGAGCCCAAACTCTCATCAGAATTGGTTTCTGAATTAACAAAAATAGGATGATGTGGAGCTTAAAGCCTCAAGCTCAATGCTTGGAACCCTAAGTGTAACTTGTTATGGGCCATTAAACCAAGTGGGTGAATGTATCTGAGCCTGGAGGTTTTCATCCAGGATGAATTAGAAAAAAATCTACAGTAAATCAAACTTGTGCATTCAATTCTTGTTGAGTTTTTTTAACGATTGAAGCTGTGTATTATACCCTCTATGAAAATAAATGAATAAAAAAAAAGAATGATTTTAAACCACTGATGAGTGGATGTAAACTTCTGAGCGCAGCACAGACAACTCCCCAGTAGCTCTGAGAACATGGAGACAGAGCAGGACTCGGGGGGTCGGTTCTGGTCGACCCTCTCTCTGCTTCAACGTGTTCTCGGTCTCGACTGATTCAAGAAATGAACTGTAACCACCTCTATCTGAACTCCTCCTGACAACTGGACTGGACTCTGACTACTTACTCGTCCTCCTCGATGGTTTTGCCGTTGATCAGGTTTTTTCCACTCGGTGCGTAATCCCAGTAGTCCTCGATGATCCCCACATAGTACACCCTCTCCACCGCCGCACCGCCGCGGGCGCACAGCCCGACCACCAGCACACAGCCGGCAAACAGCCCCAGAGTCCGGTCCATGTTCGGGTGGAGGACGGCTGAGCGGGTTTCACCTCGACAGGGAACAAGTGGAACTGACTGAGTGCGGTCAGGGACCAGCACTTATGAAACCGAGCACAGATGGTCCATTCAGCCCACAGGGTGCCCGCGGTTCTGTGTGACCGCCTCCAGGGGCAGGATCAGGAGCACTCAGCCTGTCCCACCAGGTCGGTGGAAGTACCTGCAGGGAAATGAAGGTAATTGATCCATTTGTGTCAGAGCTGACTCATCCAGAACCAAGGTGCATGGCCTCACATTCTCTTCCTCCAGTCTGAGGAGGGGACACAGTGACTCGGAGGTCTCACTGCAACCATTAAACAGTTAGTCTGAACTTTATTATAAACGATGCCGTCTGAAAGAGTTTCCTCCAGATGTTTTACACACACCATGCAAGTCTAAAATGCGGGTCCTCGCTGAGTGTAAACAAATCAGCATGAATCAAAACTGGTTTAAAGTTGGACCCGTTTTCAGTCACTTCTGCTATTTCTGTACATAAACCACGTTTTCCTTCAAGGACACGTTTTTATTTTAATGTTCACGTTTATTTTAATATGTCTTCATGATTTTGTAATGAGTATCTTTAAAACACATTTCTGATCCTGTTCTTTGTTACCTTTAATAAAGCAATCAAAACTCTGTACTACTATCTAAAACAGCATTATTGAAGATTAAAACAAAGTGTTAAATTTTATTGGTGACCTGTTAAAAAAAATGCAAAGAATAAACTCTGCTGCATCGACAACTTACCAAACATTTTGGTGTCATAAGTCAGACACAAAGACACAGCTTGTTCCCATTTCTTTTGTTGAATTTGGACTAAAAAAAACCCCAATCTAAAAGACTATTTTAAAACTCTTTGACTCAGTGATGAACTTCTAGAAAGAGGGTTTGTTTCTGAGGTCCGACTTGACGTCTTTGTTCCACTTTTTCAGACATGACCATTTTAAATCTGCTGTATCTCAGACTCATGTTCGGGCTGCTGTTGTTACGCCATACTGTTTTGCATTAGCTGTAGTGTATATCTTAGATCCTTATATACTGTTTTTTTACACTTTATATTTTTGTATTGTTGGATGTAACTGGGACCCTGTGTACATAATTTCATTCCACCTCATCACATGTGGTGCAATGACAACGAACCTACTTGAATTTGAACTTGTTTTTTAGGACTGTCCCTTCTTATTTTGTGTTCAATACACTTTTCTTATTTTTAAGCACAAAAAAATGTTGTCATGAAAAATTGGACATAAACTGAGTGAAAAAGCAGCTCAAGTCCAAAGTAAAACATTTGAAGTAAAGACTGTAGAACAACTGGTCAAAACCACTTTAAAATATTACAAAACTTTGGCTGCTTAGAAGCAAATTGTTAAAAAATAGTTTTAAAATGTTTGCTCCATCCTGGAGAAATGATGATGATGAAAATATAACTTTGATGTTTAAATCTCCCAAATGATGTGTCAATGTGAGGTTGATTTCATTATTATTCAGTCTTATTTGACTGACGAGGGACAGACTGTAGAGCACAACACATTTGATCAAGATCCAAACAAAATGTCCTCCCATGAATCCGCTCTGTTTGTGTTAAGATAGAGGCTATCAGAGATGGATACAGTTTTCAGACAGAATATTCAGTTTTTGTCAGTATGATTACCTGATGCCTTAAAGCATGCCATGTTGAAGAATGAGAGCTGGTTCAGTTCAGTGACCCCCACCATCCCCACCCCCTTACACCCCACTGTGTTGTTTTTATTAAAGATATATATA